AACACTGAGCTTGAAACAGACATTTCTGAACTTCCTATCGATGATTAACGTACAGATTGGGAGAGCCATTATTTTGTGAGGAGCACTAAGAAGCCAAGTGTCAGATTACAAATCATCTCATGCTCCACTTCCATTCTAGTTTAATAGTAAGACCTCTTTTATCCTTCATTTCTTGTTTTAAAATTAAACTGCAAAGAGTTCATCGGGATCTGCTGTCATAAAAGCAGAGCATCTACTTTGAAGAATGAATGTCATGTAAGCATTAAGCAGAACATATTTTACAACTACAACATATTTATAAATATAAAGRTTTGGTACAATCTTCATGTTCAATATTGTTTTGTACAATATTTGGTACATATCAACWGAATATCTAAGCCTATACAGTATATACACAAAATGACTATCCTTAACAATGTAGCAAAATCATAACAACTCACGTAGTCAACTTTTGGACTATACTTACTATTTGGTTCACGTACTATTCACTGTACACATTATTTTACTGAAGTAAATTTCATTTTCAATGTTTTCATCTATTATTATCTAGGCATGTACCTCAGAGGCACACCAAGCTGTGGGCAGGACCACATCTCCATTCTACACTGTACAGAGCAACACAGAAAAACCCAGGAGTCCACAGAGCACTGCCGCCCTCGCCTTACAGCAACACACGGTGTCACTAGAAAGGTTTCACTAGCACAACGGGATCCCAACCACAAGTTTGTTTATTCAAATTGCATAGTTCAAGTTCACTGTAAAATGGGCAGGAGGGACACGGGAGAAGGAAAGGGGGAATTATCACAGTAGCAAAGGGCCCCCTCRTCGAGGGGACCACAAAGCTCGTCAACAAAGGGCTTGCACAACCTGAGCAGAGCAGGCCCCAGCAAGCACTGAGCTGAAGGAGTACTTTGAAATGTAAGGCAGCAAGCGAGCAGAGGTGGAGGCCGAGGCCAACAGGAGCAGCAGCTCCACAGGTCCCACTGGCCGTCGCTCCAGGCGGAGCGGCGAAGCAGGCGGCAGGCCCTGGTGCTCGAGGAGCAGCCCGACTTGCACAGAGTCCCCCTTACTGCCTGCCTCGCTCCGAGCCCCCCTTACTGCCTGCCCCTCACTGCTGCAGCGCCTGCGCTGGCGCTTCTGCAGCACCGTCCCCGGCTCCAGTCACAGAAGTGATGTTTTCATCATCTTAATGGGGGCAATTTTATGATCGTGCTGCTAGCCGGCCCAAGGCAACATTTGACTCTTGTATTGATCTAATAGAGAGAGAAAAAAAAAAAAAAGTCTAAGGCCACTTGAACTGAGTCATGTGCAATACTCTAGTGTACTGGGTGACTGGCAGCAGCGTGTATAGCCAGGGGTGAAACCACTGCCCCAGGGTAAATGGGCTAAATCATTCAATGCAAAGAGGAAAAGGTCAGTATATTCAGCACCTCACATAAAAGCTATGTTTATAAGAAACAGATTTAGTCTCCAAAAACAGCCTCTGAACAGCCTTAGAGCTCTGTATCTTCATCATGCAGTATAAAAAAGAAAGCAAGTAAGTGCTCCGAAACAGGTGGAGAAGTGAAACACGAAGCCAGGGATACTGTGCTCCACCACCCCGTGCTCCCAAATGGGCAGCCCAGCTCCAGCAGCAGCTCTGGATCTAGCTCCCTTTCGCTGCCTCTTTCCTCCGCTCACCTACAGTTTAGCATCACTTGAGCACAACACARTGGTCCTCAGACACCATCTTCTATCAGTTCCTTTACTTAAACTCTGAAATTACTTGAGAATAGGTGCAGCAATGTGAAACAGGAATGAAATTGATACTTCTATCATCCTACAGAATATTCTATGGGAATCACTATTAGTTTTATTAATATTAGTTTCCATTAATGTGACAAGTCTTGAAGCTCAAACCAAACAAGGGATGGATGAATCAGCACCATTAAGTGAGCATGGACAACTTGCTCCTGAACAGGGATATAGGCAGGAAACGCACACAATATACCCTAAGAACAGTAAAGTGAAAAATTTATGGAAATACTATGTATCTGTTCACTTTGGTATTAGCTCCTCCAACTCCATATTACTCATGACAGAACAGGACAGCTACTGCAAAGCCGAAGCACTTGATTCATGATGCCCTAATGACTCCACAGCAACAATCTCTCTCATTATTATCAAAACCACAGTCCACCATCCAGAGAGCAAAAATGCTGGAGATAATGGAAGTTGATAACTAATCCTGCTATATAGTACATGAAAAAAAAAAAAAAAAAAGGAAAAGAGCTAATGATTTAAACAGTAACTGAAGAGTCTTCTTTTTATTTTTCAACATCTTTCCTCTCAGCTTGACACTGTGAGTACATGTCTGTATTCATATTACAATAAAGATAAAAGAACAGGATATTTTAAGAGATACTTAAGAAAGGTAGAACTGAAAACCTGAACCAGTTTTAGGCCTGCTTCTTGCATAGCTCCACTTCTTCTGTATTACAAATTATAAATTATGCAACCTGTTTTCAACAGATAAACCTGTTTTATTTCTGACCTTTTTAATAAACAATGAAAAATTAAGTTAGTAAGAAAGCCAAAATTCATGAACATCTCAAACAGCCAGACGCTAACTGGTTGACTCTGGTAGGTGTTTTCACAATATGGAGAGCATTAGATCTGTGCTATCAACTTGCCAAATAGAAAAATTTACAAGTATTTTTAGGTTATTATAAAAATATACAGGGTGCAACAACAAACTTTAGTCTCTCATCAAATTGTCTGGAAATAAATATATATATATATACACACACACACACACACACACACACACACACACACACACACAGAGACATATATGCCACTATGAGGCGGGAAAAAAAAAAAGAAAATTAGCCTTTCCTGATTTATATTGCCCTTTAGAACTTGATGTTTTCTTTAAACTGAAGAGGACTTGCCTCCTCCTTCCCCCCACAAAGACAACTTTAAAATCTGAACAGATGAAAYAAATAACCAAACACTTGTCAAGCAATGAAGCAGAGGGATTAGCACTGAGAAAAATACATAAAAAAAAGTGCTGTGAGCAGCCTAACCTGCTCCTTCCAAGTTACTATGATATCCTACAGAATCATAGCAATTTGCAAAATTATAATGGAAATGAATCCAGCACAACTTGTCCAGTGCACCATGAGGAACCTAGTAATGCCCTTACACTAGAGCTGTTGATACATATTCTATATTTTGGCATTGGAGTGAGTACATAACACTTCGAGGGCCAGATTGTCTCTTCCGCCCACCTAGAAAGTGCAGACGAAAAGCTGAGTGTTGCAGAAAGGAATGTTAAATCCAAGTCACCACTGGCCACTTTCAAACTGATCTGACTTCGAATGAGACTGCTTGCATTAATTTGTTCAGAGTGTCTTAAAGCAGGCCTGGCCAATGCACTGCAGGCCTTTGGAGAATCAACACCTGGGCACAGGTCTCAAATCCACCCGKCACGCCCCCCTCATACCTCCTTGCCTCGGCTCTCAGCGCGAATCCTCCGTTGGAGCTGCTGCTGCTGCAGGCACCCGCGCGCCCATGCGGTGCGAGCGGGGAGACGGCTACCGGAGTGGCTGCCGCGGGAGGCAGGTGGGTTCTCCTGCCCTGCCGGGACAGGCTGCAGCACCGGGCGCTGTGGCAGCACATCTGTGTGAGCACAGCTCCACTTCTCCCTTCCGCTCTGCCCCTTCACTTCCGATTTGGTATTTGCCTAAAAAAAGCAAATAAAAATAAATAAAGCTTAAAAAAAGGTTATAAAAGCTCGGCATTCTGCCCTCAAGCAGGGCTGGGGCCTCTGACAGACACGCAGCGGCCACGAGCGGGGAAAGATCAGAATGCTCTCAGATGTAACCTCTCGCTCTGAACTTATATTGTGCACCCTACCTTGACGCTGCCCATGAATGAGCTCCTGAACCACTATGGTTTTCAGCCTGGCCCATAGGAAGAATAGAAGGAATTCTTGAGGGCTGTCAGAAAATCCCAATGAACTGGGAGCAGCTCGCTCCCCATTAGCCACCTCAGCGATGCCACCAGCTCACCAGGACGCTCAGTCRGAACCTGCACTGCTCCTCACTGCACAGGCCATTCACACCCAGCATTCCCAAAAACTTTCAGGAGGAATCCTGAAGAACTGCCAGCTGTTAGCAGAGCAGTTCCATTGCAACAACAACRCCCAGGGGAATGCAAAGAGTAGGAAGAAACAAAAGCACGACCTCTTTATGAATTTCAACAYCTCAGTATATACAAAAAGATGATGATTGACATGGATGCAAACAAGAATTTTGCTTAAAGATTTGTGGCCCCAAGTTTTTCAAAGACTACATGAAAAGCAATCACTTCTGCTGTAATGGATTTTAGTTACAATAAAATTTCCACTAATATTTCTAATTGCACCCGAGAGAGTTAYTTAAATGTTATTTAAATGTTGTGAAACTCCCAGTGAAGTAGTGTACCAGTGTAATGGTGTAGCATGTTATGGCTATGACTTTCTTAATCTACAGAAAGACAAGAGGTTTCCAGATATGATTCATTTGTCAATAAATATATGTTTCCTAACTTGTGCAAAATTGGATTGTTTCTTACAATGTTTATTAGACTATACATATGTACACTGGTGAAATGTTTTTGCTATAGGCATATAAGTAGTCTGAATGCTAAAATTTTTATTTTTGAACTGTCAAAAAAGAAACCCATCTTCTAAGCACTCAGAGAAGCAGGCTCACAAACAGCGAGCCATAAATGGCCACTGACTACTTTTCTCAAAGGCCTGTTTTTCTAAAAGGATAGCCATATAATCACTTAGCAGTGACTTCTTATGCGTAGAAGAGTAAAAAACTGGAACACCGGTTCAGAGATTAGAACAGAGAAATCTTTCGATATTTTACGTGAAATACATTTATTAAGTGATCAGACAATCTTCAGGGAGATGTATAAGTATGTTGATTTAGAACCATCACCTTTTGTTTATATATTACATTCAGATTCTTACCAGAGTGCCACTCTGTGTGCCACTCACTCTTCCTGTTTCATACTCAGTCCTTGGAGCACTTTTCAGACAAACAACTCCCATCYAGCAAAATATTTTCTAGAAAGCAATGTAAAGGTTGTAATACATGGACAAGCAGCTAACAACTTGTAAGCCACTGCAAGAGCAATGCAAATATATTCCATAGGAAATTAATTCCAAAATGTTCATCCTATTATTCTGAACTGTAACATAACTACCATCATAACATCTGTACTTTTAAATCATGAGATCACTTSCAGAAAAACTGCAAGAGCAAAGTTCCTCTTACATAGTTAATCTTGTACACCCCATCTCATTATAAAGGTAGTCATTTGCCTAGAAGTGATTTCTTATTTAAAAAAAAAAAAGGCAGGATAAAGGAATGTTAATCATATTTATTACAGCTACTTCTAAAGACTAATGAAAATTGAAGTTCCATTATGTTGGGCAGAACATGAACAGAGAACAGTAAAAGGTCCCAGATTAAAAAACTTACAGTCTAAACAGATAAGACAGACAGCACAGGGGAAAAGTTCACACACAGCACAAACAGCAGCACTGTGCTAAATGCAGCAGCAATCCCATTTTGGGGGCAGCTTTTACTTGCAAACAAAATGGAAGGAGACCCCGAGTAAGGACGGCAGATGAGGGGAACGGGAAAGGAGCACATGAAGTAAGCAAATACCAAAGCAGAAGTGAAGGGGTCAGAATGGAAGGGAAAAGTGGAGCAAACAGTCCCTGAGCACAGGACAGGGAACAGCTAATCAAAGCTCGTCAGTGTTCTCTGGGTGGCCAAAGGTCCCCGGGCTTTTGGCTCTCACTGTTCCTGTTTGCTAGTCTCTGTCAGAGTCCTTTCTTCACTGCTTCCAGGCCTACTGCAGGAGGGTTATTCAAATTCTCAGTCTTTTTCCTATCATGATCCCCTATTAAAAGAAAAAAAAAGGATGCAGGAGGGAAATCAAGACCTCTCTCTCTTTCTCTCATTTAGGCTTTTAAAACAAAAYCATCAGGACCTGTTTAGCTCTAGTTTTTGCAAAATCCTTATTTGCAACGTGTCCATGTTCTGATATTCAGACTTCCACTTGCTAAACTCTTACTTGGCTAAGACATATTGAACAAGACACAGTTTATACAAAGCAGCAGCGAAGGTTTGGTCAGTGTACAAAACATCATCTTTCATGGTGAACAACGAAGAGTTAAGTTAGGACTCAGAAGGGCAGCTGTATTTTCCGGCAATATATAGCCAGGTAGAAATATTCTAACCACTCACAGTAAACTGTACTTTTTCCAGTATTAATCTACTAAGATAGGCTTATATTAGAGAGAATTTTATCACGTTTGTTACAAAAATGTCGATCATTTGGATCCTGCAAGACAGCTACATGTGTTATCAGCATAAGGTAGATTTGCCCACAAAGGCAAACTGAACCTGCATAACTACTGTGGCACCGCTTATCATGCAGACCCTGTGGAAGAGGGTAAAGGAATCAAAATGAAAACTTTTTCTTGCCCTGGTATAGCATCTTCACACGAGGTGTTTATGCAGGCATAGCAATAGCAACACAGTTAAAAGCAATTTCTGGAATGGGGCCAGCCCTCCTAGGTTATTTCCTCCTATATGGAAATATGCTGTCAATACACGCTGTTTGATTTTGAGACGGTTATATTCAAACCAGGAGGAAAGAGGGTTGCTACTTAAATCACAGTGGTAGAGACCAAGTACTGGCAAGAAGCACGGATGCAGAAAGCACTGCTCTGTTTAGACAAAGCCTTAAAAAGTCTTGTGTAAAGTACAAGTATACAGTGCAAGATAGCTGCAATACTCCTAGCACAGCTAGGGCTTTAGAATACTAATTCTTAACTTAAAAAATAATCCCTCCTGTGCAACTCCCAGAACACGATCAACCTTTGAAATGTTAATGGAATTACTAGAAACAAACCATACTTTGAATAGCGGCCAGATTTTGTCAGGAGTTCAGCTGATGAGAGTTTTCTGTGTGCCACTATTCTTTTCAAAATATCCTTTCTTTCAAAAATGACTTGCTTCAGCAACAACTCTGTAATAATTTGGAATCTGGGCGAAAACACTTGATCCTGACAAAGTGTAGTGTGTGTTTTGGCTTGAAACATATACGGAAAAGCATCAGCCACAGTGGAGCTCTGGAAATGACCACTGCTTTATCTCTATCTTCTCAATGAAAATAACAGGCAAGTGGCTGTCTAAAAAAATTCCTTTAGCTCAGTTGCACAAGAGCGTTTCCACCACTATCTTCTTTATTTGGCTGTTTCAAACATCATCTCCAAATTCTGACTGTGCTGTTACAGTAACCCTTTCTGCTTCTACAGGAACTAACTCTAGTTTCTGCCACAAGGATTTCCTAAAGGAGAAATAGCTAAGAAATGTTTAACTAATACATTGCCCTCAGGGCAATGTGAATGGCAGCTCACAGGCTACTGGGTTAAGGCACTAGAATTATGTGATAAAACAAAGCTGCATTGTTCCTCCTTCTTTATTGCTTGTACTACAACAGCATCCAAAATAGACCCAACATAAACCTATACATGCAGAGATAGAAATCCAGTAACTGCAAGAAAGTTATAATGTCTGAGTCAAGAAAGTTTACCCATTGCATTTCCTTAAACCAGGAAAACTATGCCAAGCATGGAAGGCTTTCTTTTTTTCCCCTCGGGTTTTTTTTTTTTTTTGCTATCTCCTATTCTCCCTTTTTCTTCCCCCAACCCCAGACACTCTCCAATCTCCAAGAAATAACCTAGAGAGCACATTGAAAGCATTGGTAAATGTACCAGTTATAAAATATATATTTTGCGTAACAATCAGAGATGGATCTGTGTTGCAAACCACTTGGCCAATCTAAGTAAGAACAAATACATATATATATATATATATATAAAATCCTTGTAATAGTAACAATGTACCATAAGTACAAGAGAAATGCGTATCTCTATAGAAAATCTTGTTAAGTAAACAAGATATAGCTATATAGAGGATCATCTCATTATAAGAGTTAACAGAACATTTAAGCTCCAAACAGCAAAGGCAGTCTACARTATATGACACTTCCTTAATGCTATAGAACTCCGTATTGAAAGTAACTTTACCTGAAGTATTTGTTACCTACAGAAAGCATTATGAAGGCTGCACATGTAGCAGGAATGTCATAAATTTTCGCTGTTACTTTCACTGTTCATTTTGAGATGTGCTGGTTTAAGCTATGTGAAAATTTGTCCTCCTTTTTTCCCCCTCACAGTTGTATACAAGAACTCTTTTTTTTCTTTCTTTCTTTTATATATATATATATACACACACACACACACACACACACACATATATATATATATATCCCCAAACTGGAATCTACAGCTGGAATTTTGGTTATATCTAGCCCATTAAACAAAGCAGGATGGCAATTCACTCTACACAGTACTTATCTCTGGGGCCCATCTTGTAACCCTGGGGCACTAAGATACTATTCATTACCCCATGTTATGTGAAGGAGAATCATAGAGAAAAGGCTGGAAGGTGAGAAGGCTTATGACCAATGTCTGCCCTATGAAGTGGTCCAGTAGGAAGTTAGTATACGGTGAGCTGAAATTAAAGAGGCTCTAAAAATGGAGGTGGAGAAAGGAAACAGTAGCAGAAACAGGTTAGGCTCTCAAATAAGCACCCACACCTGGTACTTAAAAGCAGAAAGCTGTGCCAAGACAAGCATGGCTTAAAGAATCACAAGTGTCTTCACTGACAAGCTAGGTAGTAACTCAGTTCTGGAACAGTTGTAAAAACAACTGGTAGAACTTGGTGAATAGACAGGTCTCTAAACCACAGAGTTTATCTAGCTGCAAGATGAAATATTTTTCTCCTTAAATATAAGAGGGTGATTAATATAACTGCAGCAGTTGTCCCTTTTGAGGTACCATATGGATAAATATGTTTGCTCCATCTTTGGAATTACTTGTCCCGATCAGTGGGTGCTGCTAAACCAAGCAAGCAGGGACCTGTACTGTCTGAYGTACACAGTAATGGTAGAATAATGAAGCTCAGCTTCGAGGCACTACGTAGGTTTTATCATCCCTTCTTGAGAAGCATGACAGGAATAAGATATCTTCTCTTAGAAGATCCTGAAACCACCATAGTTAGGCTGTAGATTGGGCAGAATAGTCTCATTCTTCAATAAATAAATAAAATAACCTACTAGCCCAATATACAGCACTAAAAGAGTGGGATCCAAAGGCAGTTTAAGCTGGATTCTGCCCAGCTTAAAAGACAATTTTAAATTAAAGACAACACCTTTTTTGGCTTAGCTCTCAGAAGAGTATTATGATGGAAACAAAAATCTGCATATTATGTTACTTACCTTAGGGCCTAACATTCAATCTTCTGGGCAATGAGCCCTCTGCTTGGACGTTCTCAGACCATAAGCCCCAGGAAGGCAGAATATGTCTCTGAGACAGGAGAGAAGCTGAATGAGGTAAAAAGAGGAAGGGAACAAAGATGGTCCTTAATAATAAACTCCAAAATATTAATGTGTTAAGCATAAAAAGAGCTATGTGCACAACTTACAAATGTTCAGCTATCGTGTTTCCAGGTTAGAATACTAATGGCACATACTTATCTACAATGATATGAACTGCATCTAAAAAGATGTCCCTTTTCTCCAAAACTGAGGATGCTGCCCTTGAAGTGGTATTTTACTAGTTTTCATTAACTCTTAGTAATTGTTACTSAGATTTTATATTTCAAGTAGTACATAAATTTGGCCCTAATTGTTTATACACCTATGACAAGAATTACGGGAATTACTGAATTGGCTGGAGGAGGAACAATTTTACACCATCACTGGAGACATTTAATATCTTTCAACTTACAACAAATACTGTGATATTTGCTGATGATATTTGATGGTATTTGTGCTGTGATAAACTTAAGACAAATGGGTGGTATTTCTTCAGCTTAGTTAACTAAATTAATGAACTACAATAAACAAACTCATATCTTTATATCTTTTTTACCCCACTGGTTGGCTGGAGAAGTTTTGTTTGCTTTCTTAAACCAGATGATCAATTATTTGATACATGTGTTCCTYTCACAGTCTATATTCCATATAGAACCGAATATAAAAAAAATCCTAAACATCTCACTGATGACAAAACTTAAGTATTTTTAAAAAGCATCACATGCATTTCATGTTGCGTTGTAGCCTCTCTTTTCTTAAAGTACCTTCCCCCCCCCCTTCTTGATTTTCATCTCAAATTATTGATCTTTTACAGCATCTACTCCTTGCCTTGCAAAGGGAGGACTTTGGGCAATTAAGCAAAGGCAGATGCAGATGCTGATGGCTGTAACAATTCACCTTCTCAATGCTTGTCTGTCCTTCTGAGCTGTCTCCATTTGCTACTGAGGTTGCAGTATCTTCCACACAATTGTACGTTACAAAAATGCACACAAAAAAGTAAAACAGCATCAATTCAAGGCGACTTTAAGGCTCTAGGTTACAAGTTACACTGGGGTGTTGCACAAAGAATGGAGGTGCCCCTTCCTTGGGGAACAGGGTGACTGACTGGATCAAGAAAAACTAAGTTAGTCATGGGATATGTACAGCCCCTAACACCTTTCAATATGGAAGTTGATACTGCTGAATTTTGCAAAAATTACCAAAATACATCAGTCTTTGAAAAATGGAAGTTACAGTAGCTGAACTAGAATCTCACTCATAGATACACACTGGAAAAACAGATAAAAAGCTGCTAGGAATAGAACTAGACAGTCCTGTGCTGGTAAGGAAGTCCTCTTTAGAAACAGTATTGCTGAAGCACTAGGCAAATAGGTAATGCTCAAAACGTAATCAACAAATGCTCTCAAAATACAAATAAATTGTTTTAAAGGTAATAGGAAAATATGTATAGTTTAAGTTGCATCCTTTGCTACTTAATTATCAAAATTAAAAAAAAAAAGAAAAAAGAAAAAAAATCTCTAAGTTCCTCCTCCAAATAAGTTTTTACTTAAAACTGTAGCTTGGGGGTCCCCACTATCAGTTTGTTCTGAGATTTTCATCCCACTGAATGTCATAGACCTGGTATTTCATGCATGGGATCTAAAAAAAATGAAATAAAAATAACTTAGTGATGACTTAACTTTGCCTCAGTAAAGATAAACCAGTCTTTATCCCCACTCAGGTCAACTCATTGATCTCGGGGAAAACATATTTAGAAAGCAGAGCTGAACACTCGCACTTTTGAAAGATAAAAGAAAAAATATCGGAACAGGATGCATGATAACAGGCAAGTATTTTTGAAGATGGGTATGCTTTCACTATTGAAATTACTTTTAACTGCTCTCTGAGATAACAATGTCAAAGATCTTACCTTCTTATTCTTTTGATATGCGATTTTTATTCATTCTTTTGATATGCGATTTTATTCATTCTTTTGGGAAGAACTTTGTCCACGTACTGAAGATTGTGTTAGGTACAATAATATTTTTGCTGAATGATTCAGGAAAAAAATACACATACATATATAAATATACACGATTTTCTTGATAACTGTACTTTTGACACCATAAGCTATATTGCTGTATCATAGTGAACTTGGTTTATGTTTTATTCTTGTCTTACTTTGGCTTCTACTGTGTTCATAACAGTTTGCCTTCGTGTGTATCAAAAATCCACTCTTATCAAAAGGAAAATCTTAATAAACTAATTAATTACTATTAAATAATAAATACTTATTTTCTAAGTATTTAAATAATAATAAGTCAAATACATTATTTGCTCAGATTTCATAGTGTTGTTGCATTTATAAATAGCATTTTTGTAATGATTTTGGTGGACCTTATTCCTATACTTATTGCAAAATACAAACAGGATTTAAGATGCATCTCCAGGATGAACTCTCCTTGTGATGATTTTACTGAAATGCATTTCAATTTTTACAGTTTCAGTGAAGCAAATCTCTTTTTTACTGAGTCTTGTTTGTACTTGAACTTGTACTTGGAACTTACAGTCCAAAATCTTTCTTAACTAGTTTCTAATTTTCAGTCATCCATTACAYTGATAAAGCATTTAAGACATTACATTTTTTTCTTCTAAATATAAAAAGCCGAACATAAGTGTTYGCATTAAGAACAGCACTGTTCTTTCTCTGCCAGTGTACTTTTTAGGCATCACTGTTGCCCCAGGATGACGCTGACATACAGCTAAGCACCTGCACAAAAACATGCACTACAGAAACCTCCATTTCAGGAGTCAAAAGATATGACAGTATCAAATCTTAAAAGTCTGGTACTTAACATGCTGTGGGCTTGTTAGCAAGACAAATGCTATTGTTAAGGCTTTTCAGTTAATATATGTACCCATAAAGATATATTTTAATGTATGAAAGTGATACAGTAATTTAGCTACAAAGCACACTCACGTCATAAGAGGGTTTTAGATTTAGGTGCATCCCTGGCAAACTATACTCTGCAACTCTRATATGAAGAAACTTACTATTGTTCGCAGATTATCCCTTTTTTTGACTGATGGCTGGAACACCAAACCCATAAAGAGTTAGAAAATTCCCACAGCGCACAATGAAAGCAAAGGGAAAGAAATTCAAGCACCTTTCTAAATATTCATAAATATTTTACTATTCTGCTGCCAACACTTCTCATTGCATATACATTACATACAGTGCTCATATAGAATACTACTACGACYATTTGTAGTATAAACTTACTTGAGTGAAAGTCACTATTATGTTAGAAATGTTTTATAGATGTCTAGAGTAATAAATACGTCATGTATAGCAACAATTCACTTAAAAAAAATCCAGATCCAATCCATATCACGCCAAAATTTAAGCATCCAAAAATCTTGACAGAAAAGCACAATTCACAAGATTTTTTAAAAAACACAATTCACAAGATTTTTTAAAAAACAGAAAATATGAAGATGTTCCAAGATGTGAAAACATGACTCTTACTTCCTCCTTTTTTTCCCCTCTCTGTGCTTTGAAATCTAATTATTAACTCTAACATCAGCAGTAACTACTCTGCCATAGCAAAATATTGAATATGGGAAACACAGAAACAGAGAAGAAAAAAGCAGAAAAATAATTCTTAGCAATTGAAGAACTGTGCCATTATGAAGAGATGATAATCTCCACTCTCACCAGGTAGCCCAAGCATTAGAAGTTATACTAAAATCACTTCCTAGACAACAGTTTCCTTCCATGCATCCCGTGGGTGTTCATGCTACGACGTGTGCCCTTTCATCTGTCAAAGGACCAACACAAAGGCTGACAGGCCCCAACACGACACTGCATGTATGCTAATTTAAACAAAATACCCACATCACTAACAAATAAGCATAATTAAAAAAYAACAGACAAAGCACTTACCTGGACTTGACAAAGCACCTCGTTGCTGCATCAGTACCATTTCCCAAATGAAGGCTCTGCAAATAAGCTAACCTTCTTCAGACCATTATTCTGTGGCACAGGCTCCTCCAAATGGCAGAATGAATGTATTGCCATTACTGCAAAGCACAGACAATCCAAAGAAAGAACTGAAAGAGAAAAAGCCGCTTCATTTTAGTTATTCAAGCTTACTGTAAAAACTTCATTTAGCTTTTCAGAAGTCTTGTTACTTGTAAATAAAATTTTAGAACAAACGGAGGAAATATGTAAGCACTAATTCATAAAGTTAGTATAAATTACTGTTGTAATTCAACTGGATGGACAGTTAATGTAATATGAGCAGAAATGCTCCACTACAGAACTTTCATTTATGTTACTCAAGCATCATTAGGATAATCTTAGGGTTGTTTCTTTTATAGTGTGTACTCTGAGAAGAGGTTTTCCTACAAGGCATCTTTAACAATACACGTTTCCACAGAACAYGTTAATTTAGAAACATCTCTAAGTATTTCAAGGTCATGCTTTCCCCTRCAAGTTATTTTGTAACTGTAAAAATAAATGCTAGCATCTCCAAATTTAGTTCCTCACAACTTTCTCTAATGTTATGGAATATATATAACATTTTATCTTGGATACTTGCTTTAGGATAAGATTAATCACTTTGAAGACAGAAACCTAGAATCACTATTTGCTGAACGTCTATTCTGGTAACAGATCCAATTTGAACAGATTCAACCCTTTTCCTGCTTCTTGTCCTTGTGCGACATCATTCTTTGCACAGATATATTTACTTACGGAGCTGCTCAGCAAGCCAACTGGAGGAACTAACTTGCAATACAAATGTTGCTTTTTTCACAGACTCAGTTTTTAAGTCAGGATTAAATCTCCGATCCAGGTCACTGCATCTCAACACAAACAGCTGTGCAAATACAACAGAAGGGAAATGGGAAGAACAAGAGTAGGTAGCTAATCACAGCTACCATTGCCAGCACCTCTGGAAACACTATTTGTCACCGACGGCCAACTTACAAGGTAGATCAACTTTGCTGCTGCAAGTCATAGAAAGGTGTCTCAGCACTGGTTTTCTCTTCATGTCCATTCCTGCATCAAAACTCACCACCACCTCCAATACCCCAAAGTCAGTGCTTCAGGATCACCCCAGAACAATTTGGTGCACAGTTTAAAAAAAAATAAAAAATATTAAGAAAAAAAAAGTTGATATTTAAATAATGATCTGGAATCAACTGCACACTGAGAGTGAACATATGAATATATATGTGGCTGTGCCTTTCTTTTCCATTACCAACAGAAGCAAGTTAGATGCCACAACCACCAGTTAAACAGCTAAAGATGCTAGAGATTAACGTTGTTTCATACCCCTAGCTAGATTTTGCCTGACTCTTTGCACTTGAATCCTCTAATGGACTTCATCCAAATTTATCGAAACAGAAGATTCAAGCCATTTACAGCTTGAATAAAGATTCAAACAATTCAAAATTTCAAGTGCTAGGTAGATAAACAGACAAGAAAAATCCACAAGCTGTCCCTGCTGAATTAAAGGCTGCARTGTAAGCCCACGCATTATCAGAGAAACACACACAAATGTGCACCTTAAATATCCCTGCTGCACTTGGTGCKTGTAATTACCTGCAAGGTGCAACTACAATGGATGTTAAATGGATGTTAATGGATGTTAAAATGTTAAATACAGACTTTTTTTCCTCACATGCACGCAAACACAATYGGCCTTTTACAAATCAATAATTGTGAGGTTTCCTCCCTCACCACCAATTCACCTAAAAGACCAAATAACTAAAARAAATGAGAACAGTAAAGCAGGTATCAGCAGGTGCAAGTTTTAGTTGAACCCAGGAATTCAATCAACATATGTTTTAGCAATGGATCATGCTACTGTTCAATCATATACTATTTCTAAAGTAATGGCAAGGACCATTCATCCTAAAATGCATTTAAAAATAATTATTAAATTCAAATAATTTTGGCAACATCTACATATATTCAGAACTACATAGCAAGTTCTCTCTATCTCCCTTCTTTTTCATCTCCTTCTTTGAAGTATAGTAATGCCACCTCACACTCCAAGTCTTCACTTTTGAAATCTTTTATGGCATTTCAGAGCAGTACGGTGGGTTGTAAACCATTCCAYGGTTTTCTTTCAAACTCCAGTCATTATTGTTATCAGTTTATCAATGACATCTTCTGGGATGCACCATTTCCCTTACAAGGTTCATCCAGATCAGGGTGGTCTCTACAAGCCTTCCTTACTCAGACTGCTAATACGCACCAATGTTTTTGCTGYTATAACCTCAGTGCTGGCAGCACCTGAAAGTGTCTGAATACACTTACAGACTTCATACATCTCACTTAACTACGCATAAAGCATCAAACTTTCAGGCACTCTGGTCTGCATAAGCTACAGCAGCAAAACTAAATAAACTATATTCCATCAGATGTGAAGGAACTGAATTTAATGTACAAAAATGAATAGTGCATTTCTCTTACTGTCTTAAATTTGGGTCAAATTTGCATCTCCACACTGTACAACACGATGCAATGAATAAAAATATTTGCAGCAATTTGCCAGGACTTAGTCTATTTCATTTAAACAAATAAATAGAAGAACTGTTTGCACAACTGAAGTGGGTTAATCACAGACTCATTCTGCACAGAAAGGATCTGCGAGGTCATCTAGTTCAAACTGCAGCTCAAAGCAGGGTCAATATCCAAATACTAATTAATGATACAGGCCATACTCTTAACCTTGCTGGCCACTAATCACACATAATCCTTAATCAGAGCTACTCAACTGACTGATGGGATTACTCCTGTGCAGAAAGGTTTGTGGCACCACTTGTTCACCACACATATTCACAAGTACTTCACTGTTGCTCCCAACTATGCCTGTGAACAGTATCATGTTAAACATCTTTCGAGCAGGCACTTTGGAGAGCAATTTTGGAAGCAAGCCAGCTATACACGAGTAGATTTTGGTACACGAGAACAGGATGGAGCAGAGTAGAGAGCAGACGACCATTAAGCCAGACAAGAAACACAGAGCTGGGTCCTGGTTCCAGTTTTGTTTCAAAGATTGACAATGATAGGGTAAAAGTCATGATTTGAGAGATATTTACACAGCTGAAGAAACTGCAGGCTCTTAGTACCAGTGCCACCAATCATCCATGCCAGTAACTGAATCTCAACAAAATAAATTTGGGAACCTCTGTTTTTGTCCTGTGGTTTTATTTTGATCCTCTAAGAGTAACCTGATAGGGATTTCCATTCTACTCAGTTTTACATCTTTTTCTTTCATGCATGAAGAAATAATTCACCACAGTACAGCATTACTTATCAAAAAAGATCAAAAAATAATCTAAAAAATAACCCTAAAGAGTTAAACATATTTACAAAAGTCATGATTATCAAAAAAAAAAAAAACAAAACAAAAAAAACCCACACCCAAATTACATGAGAAAGCTACCTTACTAACATCCTTCTGTTCCAAAGAATTGTTACTGTATGTCATCATCTATGCTAAAAGGTGATACATTAACTCTACTATACTAAATAGAAACAAAAATTCATCTTGTAAGCAATGTTTTTAGAAGTTATTAATTGCTATTATAACTTCAGATATTAAATACAACTTATTTAAAAATAATTTAATGCAACCAAAAGAGTAAAGAAGGCTTTATTTGGTTAACTTCTTAGGACTTTATGGTCATTTATACAATAAAGTGCTCACCCTCAATATATCAGGAATGCTCTTTAAATGATTACAACAGTAGTAAGAAACTAGCAGCAGCAAGACACATAGTGATTAGTTCTACACTTTAGCAGATTTGATAGTGCTCTAAGAGGGTATTTTAAAACATCAGCAGCTTAAAAGATTTTCAACATATGCTTGAACTATTCGACAGTTCAGGACATTATTTGTCCACCCTCCCAAGCATTCACTGATCACCATTACTGTGAACAGGATGCTAGGCTGCATTGAGGGTCTGTCTCGATTTGATCATACGCACCAGGTCTTAAAGTACAGTGTAATGCAAGAAATCTTATTTGCAGTTTTCCAATAAATAAATGGGAGAGAGACTTTTCAATAAACTTTTCTGCCACATATAAGATGCATCACGTGATGCATCAGCCACAGTCATGAAAGAGCCACAGTTAGAAGATGAAATATGAAGCTACTGCTGGATTTTGAGTGCAAATAACATGAAGTAATGATGTTACACACATCTTCATACAGCAGTCTGCAAATTGGTCTGACCACTAAATTCTGCCTGTAGTCCTAAGCAAGAGCAGAAGTGACAGCCCTGAACACAAGTGTGAGGCAGCCCTGCTGCTGAACAGCAAGGGGAAACTGAGCAAACGAGAGGGAGATCACAGGGATGCATAAACTGAGAGTATCTTCAACAAACAAATTTCAAGCTTAATATCAACTTTGTTTTAGAGCTATGTTGTTAATAATAATAATAATTATTATTATTTGCTTTTATTGAAGCCAAATAACTATTCTATTAAAAGATAGTTTTGAATGGATAGCAGGCTCTAGGTGCAAGGGGTTTGCTTTCTGATGGTGAAGAAACACATATGTTCTTACAGTAACCATCAGCAACCAGCAAAATGATATAAGCAGGCCAGCAGTCAGCAAAGAATCTGGCCCTGTGCTTTGGCTAATGATTTTATAATATCCATTTCAGAAAGAAAGAAATCCCTTTCTCTGTTAAAATATTACAATGCAATAGCCAAGGGATACTGCACGGGTAGTTTAAATTCAGTAATGTTTGTAGTAACAATATTCCAGTCTGTGGACTCAAAGCTAGTTATGAAAAGACAATAAGGTTTACATTTGGAGTAATCTTGACTCTATAACAGACAAAAGTATCAAAGCTATGATTATTTTAACTGTAAACCTTTTTGCACCTTTTGCAATATTTTTATTATATATATATATATAGAGTACTTATGTATGTATTTAAAGTACTTATGTAAGTGTATTTAAAAATGTATAATTAGCATATTTCTGTTACAGTTTCAAAAAGATGCTTTGCAGTTTTAGATTTTATTCCTCCTTTGTTAGCTTTAAATAAATAAAGTAAAATAAAAGCCAAACAAACCCTGAGAAATGAAACCTTCAGAGCGAAAGTCTTCAGATGGCACCTCCCACTCCCTGTGCAACTTCTCAGGGAGCAGCACGCAGTGACAGTCTGGCTAGGAGTCATCTGCCAAAGGGAATGGGATTTGCATGCACAAATACTCCTAGAACACACACATGAATAGCACAGGCTCTCAGCCTGAACACAGTCTTTTAACTAGAATATTATTTTTCCCAGTGCTCATAATTACTTTCATAATTACTTTCCAGATAAGGCTTTCTGATACAAGTGTTGTTCTCAAAGAGTAATTCTTAAGACTCACTCATTTTAGAGTGTTTTCCCTCTCTCTTTATATTATGTATAAAGTCTCCACATAGTAATTTTATTCCTCATATTTAAAAATCCTACCCCTCCTTCCAAAAGGAAGGCTGGGGGGGAAGGGTGTTGTTCTATATCCCCCACACTATTATGCTACATGCTCAACTCAGGCCAAAAGGCTTCAGCCATGGGAAGTATTCATTCCAGATATGTGTTCTAGAAAGGTAATAATGCATGGAAACAAACTAATATTTAAATTGTTTTAGAATCTTTACCGAGGAAGCAATTATGAAGTCTATAAATAGTTGAAAATAGTTGAAACTAGAGACCCCCTATTCAGAAAGTTAAATAGTACTGACACATAGTGTATTTGCCCGATTGGCCCAAATCAAAACAGTTTCAAAATCACATCAGAAAACCCTTCTGCTCTTCCCATGTTAACTAAAATTATTAATAATAAAAAGTTAAATTAGTAAGATCAGCAATAAACCATGCGCAAGTATGCGGTCAGTCAATTCACACTAAAACAAATTAAACAATTGATATATGTCAGAGAGATCAACATTTAAGCAAATAGCAATTCTAACTAGATCCCAAAATCATCACCAGTGCATACCTGCTCAAACCAAACCCTGGTGACTCTGGAGCTTGCATCATCTAGAAGGCCATTCTTCCTACGTGAGGACTATTTTGTTCATGCTAAATGAGGTTTTATAGTTTTGTAAGTTAAAGTCCTTAGTTTCCTCACATCTCTGTGAATTTGCATACACATGAGAAGTTCTCCTTCTATATGGAGAGGTGCATGCATGTCCGCAATCCTTCTTCAGCCCAAGCTTTACTTTATGCAATTCACATATCAGGAAGGAAAACAAGGAACACCAGCAAAGCATCCTCTGGCAGTTTTATATACTTCACAGTATTTAATACAAAGCAAAAAATGAAAAATTAATCTATTTACCCCTAATGTCAGTGAAAAGGGACAACAAAACAGGGAACGGAGGCACTGGCCAGCTTTAAAATGTTAACACCTTCAGGCCATGAATTCTAACTGATGGGAGAACCAAAGTCTAGGTCAGAGATTTTTCCAAATTTTCCACACTAACAAAAAGGAAACAAGTCTACCTCAGTCAGRCAAGATCACTCACAAGCAGCTCTCACCACAGCATCTGTTAAGCCGTGTATACTTAAAATAAAAATGTATGTTTGACAGAAGTTTAAAACAAAACAATGCATTCTAGTCAGCCCTGCGAAAAGAAAAAGTTATAATCAAAAAAGTTTTTAAAATATTACTGAAATTAAAATATAGAGCATATGTTAATTTTTATATACCTGGGTCCAGTAATCTAATCACAGCAAAGTATTGCCAGGACTAAGCAAGAGCATATGAAGAAAACTAAAATGCACAAATAAAACACCATCATATATGGCCTTCTACTTAMTGAAACTACTGAAGAACATTATTCAACATATTGCATTATTCTACCAGTTTTCACAGTCATCTGCATCAATAGAAAAAGAGCCAAAACACATGTGCTTTATTTCATGTGCTATAGAGAAAGAAAGGTGGAGTCACTTATTTTCCTCTCCTACTCATAGAAAAAAAAAAAAAAACCTCTCCGCACTAAACAGCACTAATGCATCAAAACTCAAAACCCGATAAAAATTCCTCTTTGCAAAATTATTACCGAATTTCATGGCAGCTTGTCACCAGATGGGTAAACAATTTCTCCCTCCAACAGGGGAAAACATCGCAAAACATTACCTCAAACTTCAAGACATTGCCGAAGGAATAAAAAGTACAATAGAAATAAGTACAAAAAATGGAAATATTATAACTATTATCATTATACTAGCAAATTATTTTTTACAATGCAAAGCATAAGAAGGTAAGCGTTTTATTTTTTCTCAAATCAAATCGCGAATACAGGGCATTTCCCACGACTTCCCTGGAGCCTCCCCGAGCCAGGGAGGCACCGGAGCGCCGCACTAACCTCGTGCTCCTGGAGGAACTGGGGCCAGGAGGGATTTAAGAAGCTGCAGGAAAGACCTCGGCTGTTTCAGCCTGAAACTGCCGGGGCACAAATACCGGGTGAAAGAGCCCTACATCGCATCAGCATCTGGAGACCGAAACCTCCAAAAACGGGTGCAACAAACAGCCTAAGCTACCTAATCGGGCAGTTTAAAGATAACAATAGTAATAAAAATGCCCGTGGTGGTACAACGCTCGGGTAGCGGCGAACCTGCCCGAAGCCGCGCCTCGGGGCTGGGAGAAAGGCGCTGCGCCTCAGGCCAAGCGCTCCGCAGGCGGCGCCTTACGCAGAGCCCGGCTTAGCGCCGCCTCAACCTCAGGGCGCGGAGCGGCGCGGCCTGGGCGGGCTCCGGCCCTGGGCGGGCTCCGGGCCTGGGCGCTGCAGGGGCCGCCGGCAGCGGGCTCCGCGCCGGGGCGGGCGGCGCCTCTGCCCGCCCCTCGCTCCGCCCGGCTGAGCGGCGGGAAGGGAGGAAGGAAGGAGGGAGGGAGGGAAAATCCCTGCGGCGCCGCCGCCGTTGGCTGCCGGGAGCGGGGCGGGACGGGACGGGACGGGCATGGCGGCGACGGCGCGCGCCGGAAGCTGCGCAGCAGCCGGGCCGCGCGGCGGCAGTAACGGCCGCGCAGTAACGGCCGCGCAGTAACGGCCGCGCAGTAACGGCCGCGCAGTAACGGCCGCGCAACAACGGCCGCGCAACGGCGCTGCTGCGCCTGCGCAGGAGCGGCACGCGCACGTGCGGCGCGGGGAGGCCGAGCTGGGCCGGCCGGCGCGCAGGGCCCGGCGTGTGGAGCGGAGCGGAGCGAACCGAACCGGAGCGGAGCGAACCGGAGCGGACCGGGGGGGTCGGCGCGGAGCCGCCCGCAGGTGAGAGGAGCTCTGGGGCGCCCCGGTGCCCCCGGGCTCGCCGCGGAACCGCCTCTGCGGGGCGGTTTGSAGCCTCGTGCCTCGTTCCTCGGTCGCCTGCTCCGCAGCTTGGGTGGAAACACAACGCGTTTGGCGCGTTTCTAAATGCCGACCTAGTATTTCTTGTCAATGTCTGCACCTTAGAGGTCCTTATGCTTAGGCAGCGTTGGGCAGAACGGTGTTTGATACCAGATGTATGTGATGAGATGATGAGATACCAGTGTGTGTTTCATTTTGCCTGCACAGGTTTCTGATGTCCAGTAATGACTATATGTGTATATATTTTCCTTGTGCAGCTTTTCCCTAGTGCGTGGATCACTCTGGACGTGGGGGAAAAAAGAGATAATTAAAAAAAAAAAAAAAAAGAAAAAGGCCAAGGAGGCTGTTTACACATAGGTTTATCTGGAAGCCCTGAAACACTCCCTGGGGTTGGAGCAAGGGCAGCAGTGGGGACGGTGCCAGCCAGGCAGCTGCAGCCGTGTCCAGAGCCACTGTCACTGCCACTGTCCCTGGTTAGGCACCGAGGCACCAGATCTGCTTGGGAGACCCTGGGTCTGCTGGCTGCAGCTATACTGAGCACTAATTCAAGGTATTTTTTCTATACTAGCTTTCTGTCAAAGGCCTCACCAGCAAGATGCTTAGTCCGTTTACCTTCAGTCATTTAGCAGAGGACATTTAAGATAAGGTGGAGAAGATTTTAGAGCAACAAAATAATCATATGGCTGACTAATTTACTTTACAGCATTATGCACGTTGGCTTCATCATTTTCTTYATGCTCTATTACGCTCTGTTAGGCTATTTGCAGGAAAGCATCTTGCGTTTGTAATTCTGCCTCGCATTTACGGCCTGTGGCATAGGAATAGATACTAGATGACATCGGCCGTGTCTCTTGAATGCAACACTTACAGGAATATATTTTGGGGGCCAAAGTTGTAATTTTTTTCATGTTCTGTGATTTGAACKCTAATAGTTATTAATAGTTACAGTTGGAGATTTTAAAAAAAAAGTGATTCTCATGTCCTCTTGCGTAAGCAATGCACACATTTCTAATAACAYGGTTAATGTAAATGTGTGTGGCTTCTCAGATTTAGGTTTTTTTGTCCTTATTTTGTCATTCCCCTTTGAAGAAGAGAAGGCTTACGATTTATAAGAATTTTTCTCTCGAGTGTCCCTTTAACCTCTAAATTGAGAAAGGATGTTTGCTCAGATGTAGTGTATTCACTGTTCTGCCACCTACTTACTGGAGTTCTCAACTGATTTTGTTTCACAAGACACTGAGTTCACTGTTATCAAAAGCCTTTCCATGATAAGAAGTCTCTACCTCTTCTTGKTTTTTTTTTTGTCTTCAGCCTTGTTATCTCTGAAGTTCGTCAGACCTTTCCATAAACCAGTTTAACTCATGAGAACAACAGAAAAAAGATCTGAATTTTCAACTGTTTCACGAGTTCAGTTAGCTTATGGAAAATCTGAGAAGGAAACGAACTGCGAGGTTGACGTTGCAGTAAGAAAGAGCAGAAGAGACCTCAAGGGGTTACCTGATGGATCATAAGTTACTTTAGCCTAGTAATTATACCTGATTGGCATCTTTTTTTGCATTATGTTATACAGATTTCCTTCCAACAGGAAAAAAGGGAAAGGAGCATGAATCTTTTAAAATGTGACCCAGTAAGCTTGAAAGCGAATTCCTCTCTTCTTTCTGATATTTAATACTGGTGACATATGCTGCCGCAATAAGTCACTTTAGTAGTACATAAAGCAGTCTTAGTTATCTATTTTTCTTGAAATTCTCTTATTTCTTATGCATTTAACAAAGACCACAAATAGCTTACTGTAATTTTACACATATAGAAACGTTGAGATAGAGTGGTGCCAAGTGACCTACCTACTATTGAYAGCCTCGTTTTATTTAAATGCTGGTTCTTTGTATGTGCCTGAAATAAAAAGTTGATTGAGAATGTTATAAACATCTACAAATGAATTAATTGCAGTAAGTGGTATGAGCTGCAACATTGTAATGCTGTTACTGGATGAATACATTTGGGAAGGCATTGTACATCTCGAAGCAGTATTTATACTTAAAAGGAAGAAAAATAACAGATAAGGATCATAGGAGAAAAAATGAAGGGAAGAAATACCTGCTCTCCTTTTGACAGGATAAGTAATCATTTACACAGAAATAAATATTCTTTATAAATCAAAAAAAAAAATGAAAAGAAATATTTTGCAGGTTGTTGGTGTTACTAGTGCATTCAGATATGGACAATAGTTTTGTATTTGTACAATGAGAAATCACCTAAATACATAGATGTGTATATTCTCTGGAGAGATGAGACTACAGCGGGTGAAGGAATTGCATAAAAGTTCCCTGAACATGTTAGAAACATCTTACTAGCTATAACATAAAGAACAATGTCATTCTGTGCTTTAGAGTGGTTGGCATTTGCAAAAGTTTAATGTTACATTAAAAAGTCAAATTCTGAACTAGATTAAATATGTGATAACAGAGTTGCTGCACTGCAGTAGTGTGATTGGCACTGTGTGAACAACTACAGAACTTGGCTTTGCTTTATAGTGCAGAACTACACAGTTTGAGCTAATTCTTTAGGTTTTACCTTGAGTGAATGTGAGACCTTGTTGTTTCTTGTACACCTTCCAACTTTAAAAAACAATCATGTTCTCTAAGGAGGTTTATATGTGTTGATAAACCTTAGATAAACCTTTTGTTCTTATCTGCCATTATAACTATTAATTTTAGAAGTCCCAATATTCCACCTTTTCATCTTGCAGCCTGTGTTATTCTGGAGAAAGCCTCTGTGCATGCTAAAGTATCAGTAGGGCCTGTCATCAGCTTAAGTTGTCATTGGGATTCAGATGAAATAATGAGTTGTTACAGTTTGTTCCTGCACTTCTTTAATTCTCTGTCCATTTTTAATGTCCTGTTCTGTAGGATCTCTTCCTGCTTAGTGTTGTAAAAGGATTTGGTTGAACTGGCATCTATGCAGGTATCCAAAAATGCTTTGGGAAATTGAGTTCTTGATTAAAAAGGGCTTGTCGTTTAATCTGAGTTAGTGCTATAGTGTAGGAGTTGAGTAGGATTGTGCTGTGAGAGGTTCTTGTATTGAAAAAGTATTGGCTGCTCAAGGAAAGATGGTAGTTTTTATGACTTTCCTGCTTTTCAATTTAATTGTGTTTCCTACTTGAACTTCCCCTTAAATCTTGAAGAGATACTCATTTATTCTGGCTAACTCCTTTTGAAGTCAATGGGTATAGATTTGGGTCTGTATAGTTTTCAACCTCTGTGTTCCTGTGACTCATTCAAGGTGTAGCTCGCTTCACAGCCAGAGAAAGACTGAATTTATACAGTCCTGATACATCCTGTACGTCCTATATGTAGCCAATACTGCAGTCTTCCTACACAGATCCATGTGTAGGTATRTACATATGTTTCTCAAGTGAACAACAACATATGTGAATTGGAAGATCCTGAATTTGAGAAATCATACGAAATGAAACATGCAGTGTCACTAACAAAATATGAAATAGATTTATGTAGCAGTAGTACTGTGGAAGAACTTGCTAGGAATTCCATAATGTTGTTAAAATGACAAGATTATGAAAAGTTTCCAAATGGTGACAYTAGCAGCAGGATGCCCTTATATAGTTAGAGATTGCTCTGTTTTCAGGATAAACTGTTTGTAGTTTGTGTAGTAAATTCACTTTTCTGAAAACTGCTTTAGTTCTTTACTGTTCTTCACCAGCTAAGCTGGTGTGTGTGCGTGTGGCATCTAGCTGTTTTTAAAGAAAATATCAGACGGAATCTGTCTAACTGAGGGCTAAATGTAGTAGGTTGAGATGTACAGGGAAGACATCTATGTTTCTGATAAGTATAGTGCACTTGGAAAATACATGAAACCCTGCAGAGTGCAGAGAATTCATAGATTTGAAATTCAAAGTCTAAAGCTGTTAATCTGGTGTGTGCCTTAAAGTTCTGAGTGTGTAATCTGCTCCAGAAAATAAGTATATAAGCAAAATTTTGAAKCCATTTTCACAGAAAATACAGATTGCATTACTGTTGGTATATTTTTATTCAAAGAATTAATCTATCTTTTTTCTTTAATTGTTGTATCCACTTCTTATTTTTCAGGATTCTTTGAAAATTCCTTAGTGGTCTTGACATTGTTACAAGTGACATAAATTAGCCAGTGGCTCAGAATGATGGATACCCAGAAGACTACAAATGGTTTGCAAGTGATTGGACCAGGGACTGGTATAGGGATATCGACACTCCCCATGGTGGGGTATTTGGGAAAAGTCAGTTGAAACTTGTTTTACATGTGTGCAAAGTTCATATTTTTCCTCTATTTTGAGAGATTTTAAATTGGTCTTAATTTTCCAAAACGAGTCTCCAAATTATTTTTCCACGGAAATCTATAACAATGGCGAAAGATTGTTTTAAGTACAAGTCTGACTATTATACATTTTTATTGGTACTGTTTTAAATACTATTAGCTTTCCCGTGAAAATTTATTTGGCTTTGAAAGATCTGAATTTGTGTTGTTTGACAATAAATGTCCCTTAGTCTATTGTAAACAGAATGAACTGATATGTGATAGTGTTGCTAAAGATACTTTGTTAAATAAATCAAAAGATAAATTCATTTAGAACATTCTGTCGTATGAGTATATATTTTATAGCCATGATGAAAATCTCATCTAATTAAATGTTTTATACTGTATCAGATGTAGTGCTTTTCTATCTTGATATATATGTATCTTTTCTTGAGATAACGACTCGATTATGGGATAATGTATAAAATGCATAAACTAATTTTTCCTTTTATTTTTTTCCTAGACTTGTAGTGCTGTTCAAGTAACCGCACATGAGTATTGCCCAGTCTGCAAGGAGAAGGGCCAGGCACAAACTTTACGGACCTACCGCATTAATTTTCAAGAATCTATTTTCCTTTGTGAAAACCCTCAGGTATTTTTCTAGTTATCAGGTTTCTTGGGTTGTATTATCTTCACCATTTATACCCCTTCAACTTCAGGAGTTTACTGGTGGTAGCAAACCTGAAACAGGACTCTCTTCAGTGCATCTGCTAGACAGTATGTGGCTGTGTTTGGACAAAAGCAAAGCTAGCCTCTATGTTTATAGTGTTTATGCATAGCTGACCTAAACAGATGTTTAGAAAATAAATAATAATAATAAAAATATTTTGACTTGTATAACGAGGGAAAGAAAATCTTTATATGAATGAGATTACAAACTAAAATGTTTCTCCCTGTAACCAGTACTCTGTCCATGCAGATAGTTTCCCATTCTTTTTTTTTTCTTTTTTCTTTTTTCTTTTTTTTTTTTCTTTTTTTCTTTTTTTCTTGTTTTACTTTTCTATTCTGAGTAATTCACACAGGTTTGTAATTATAACTGCGGTGGTTTTGAAGTTTAACCTCAGTTAGATTTCTGGGCTTTTTAACAGTCAACTTTTGCTGCCTCTCCACTCCCTTTCCTGCACTCAGCTGTGTGTGCGGGGTGAGGGTATCACAGTCGCATGTAACAGTGTCCTTAAATGAACAGAGTGCAAAGACTAGATGCCTTTCTGTAATTTGGTCTCCCCAAACCACTTCCCCAACCCCTTCACTTAACAGTAATCATCCTACTATTCTGAAGGAGAGGAATGGTGGATTTGATTATATTCTGCTGGTTGCAAAGCATTCCTGTGCATGAGATCCTGTCAATACCTAGTCTGATGCATGAGGCTAGCCRAATAGATAACCTTCCAGCTTTGGAAATTGCAGAAGAGAAGAATGTTAATGCCAAATCTGTACCCTAAAGGAATTGATATAGCAGGAGGAGAGAACAGGATTTTCCTAAGCAAGATTAGCACATCTTTAAAGTATTGCAAGTGGGGAGTCGGGTATTTACTGGGAAGTGTGGGTTATCACTCTTGTTAAATTTTTTTCAGCATCGCTTTTAAGTCAGTGGTTGAATAAAACGTCCTTCCTGTCATATATATGTTGAATTTATGTATCAGTTCTATGAAAGTGTCAATTTAAATGTACTTCTAGCTACTGTTTACCTGCTATTGCTTTGTAGATTTCATTACAACTTTTTTCTTTCCTTTAGTGTATCTACCCACTCGGTTATAAACCATTAAACAACATAATTATTTCTGCTGATTCAGAAAAACACCAAATTGCATGTACTGAAAAGAAAAGGAAATTGTGTGATATTAGTGACTTTTCTCCCATTGAATTGCATCCAAAGCAGGCAAGGACTAATAACAGGGTAAATGTTGAGCAGAGTATTAATGCAAATCCTGCTGTCAGCTACTGTGAGGACAGTTTATGTGCTCCTGGGCCAAGCCCACCTAATAAATTACAGAATGACCAACAAAAGACTAGTAGCAAAGTGGAGTCTCTCATGCAGAAGGTGGACACTGAAACAACCACCAGAGCCAGCAGGGATCAAAAAAGTCCTGCGAAGACTTTGGCCGGAGCACAGCTCCTACCGAATCCTGAACTTTGCTCAACAGCATCTGAACTTTTGCTCAAAGACGATAAAAGTTCCACTAATAACTCAGATTTATGTCTTCAGTGGAGGAACGTGTATGCTCTTTGTTGGTTAAACTGCATTTTGTCAGCACTGGTACACTTAGAAACATTAAAGTTGGCTTTAACAGAAGAATACACCGAAGAAAAATGTTTACTCCAGAGCCTCCTTACAAAATACAGTCAAGCAACTGCACTTCTGAACACCTGTAAAAGAAGTAAGGTAAAAGGTGAGTGTGTTTGGCTGCTGTTCCTTTATATTCGAAGTGATGCATCTGCTACAAAGATGTGGAATTCTGTACTGGTCTGTTTGCCTTTTTTTTTTTTTTTTTTTTNTTTCCATGAATTTCCAGACCAGAGTTCTTTGTCTAACAGATTCTCAGCGATCCCTGAAAATATTTCTCTCACGGAATATATGCACACTTTGAAAGCAGAGATCAAACATTAAGTATCTCTTGAAATTTACTGTAATACAACAAGTAGATACGTTGTGAATTAAGGCTCAGGGCTCATCTAATTGAGCCTTGAACTTGTTTCCTTCCCCTCTGTATCACAGTGCTGTTCTGATCTTAGAGATCTTTTCTGATGTAATTTTTTTCACTTTCCCTCTATAAATGTCCGGTTGCCCTGTCACGCCAAAAATAGTAAAGCTGGGAAAATAATGCTCTTTTGTAGCCTCAGCTGTGCTGACAGGAGAACTGCTTCTGCTGAGGTCCGTGAGCGGGTGCTGCTTCCTGCCCCGTTCCAGTCCAGGTCAGCCGGATGGGCCAACGTGGTGCCTCCTGTCCGAGTGSGCCAGGAGCCTTTCACAGGAGCAATGGGCAGCGCCGAGCAGCTGGGGGAACCTTCCAGCCAGCACAGCAGGGACTGCACCATGTGCCACTCTGAGCTCTGAGGATGGGCTTTGATCATTTTGTGTAGTCTGACTTCGATTTAAGGCTCTTTAACTGCTGATATATACATATATATATATATTTCTAGTTCTTTTGAACTGGCCCATTGGAGTCATACAGGTCTCTTGACCAGCCAGTACCTTTGATGCAAGTTTTCTCAGTAGACCTCTCAGGAAAAGTGAGTGTGGGACTATATAGACTATAGTGCCATAAGAGCATTAGGTAAYTTAATAGCATATCTTCCCTGGAAAGAGCAGTGGGTGTAAGAAAAATGGTGTAATAGACTTTGTGACACAGAAACCGTAATATTCCTAAAGAAAGGAGAAAAAAAAAAAAAACTAAAGAACTTGTAAGTAATCCTACATGCTCCAGTTCTAGCCAGAACTTGGGGTTGTTTATTTTTAGATTTTCAAATGTTGCCTGGAGATCTCTGCCATCACAGTACCTGCCTCTACTACTGCTTGTGAAGAAGCCCTGATGCAGGAGAGCCCTTGGTTGGGATGCCACATTACTGTCCTGAGGAAGGGCATCGTAATGTGACGTTGCTTGAAATAATCTGAGTTTTTCCATTTCTAGGAGTTGCTGCAAAACAAATTAGTCTCTGTGGGCAACGGGGGAAGGCAMTGGAGGAGGAACAGTCGTATCATGGTGTAGTTTTGCCCTGCTGTCTGTTGCTTCAGTCTCTCTTATTTCTGTTTGATTTTAAAAAATAAGCAGTAGAGCTGAAGATTATTATTATTATTTTCTGTAATCATAAGTGTTCTAAGAAATAATTTCCACCGTTATATTAAAATCTTCCTTTAATTTGTGGAGGTTATGACCATGATTCCGTACTAGCTTTCTTGAGCTTAAATTTTCTGTTTCTATATAAACAATGCAACTATTGTGAGATTAGGTTACATACTAATGATGACTAATAGATTTATTCATATTTTAAAATGGTGACTTTGGAATTTATTTTATTTAATCAGAGACAACACATTAAAATACCTTATTAACAAATGTGTGATATCGTTACAAAGCAATTAAGCAAGTTTTTGCTCTTTTGATCTAAAAATTTAGGGGTTTTATTCTGTTCTTAAACTCTGAATCTTCAGAGTTTATATATATATATATATATATAAAATCTTTATATAACTCTGAATCTTCAGGGTTTTTATATATATATATATATATACACACACACACATATGTAATCTTTAAATGTCTTATTATCCAGTTAATAGTACACAATTGTAACCAGATTTTAAGTCAGTTTAAGTAATTTCTGGTAAAATGTGTATAATTTTTGTAAATTCTACTGCAATTTTCAATTTTCAGCATTAATGCTAAGCATTGGCTGTGTCTTACCAACAACCACAAAGAAGTGAATGGTATGAAAAGCATTCCCCGCCCACCCCAGTCAATGAATACATCCTAGATGAATGTGAAGTAGGGGACTGTTACACATGAATACATGGAAATGCATATCCTTATATCCTTTCTTTTTTTTTTTTTCCTAGATGTTCTTCCAAAAGCAGAATCCCATCTCAATGAAATCAGAAATAGAATTTTTATGCAGCTTCAGCCTCTGCTTGGGTGTAAATTGGGTGAGTACTTATTGCAGAATCTCTGAATTTATTTATACATATAAAAATATGTGTGGATATATGCATACAAGATCTCTTACAGATACATTTTAMGTATCGCTTACTGTGTGATAAGCTTTTTTGTCTCTTAACTAACTTTGAAGTTTAGAGAGCAGCATTTTCTTCTCTTGGCAATTGTGCTGTAGTCACAAAATAGCCAGAGAGCAACCTGCCAACAGGGACCTGTCCCTTTGTGAGGATTAGAGACKCTGTCTACGTAAAGATACCTTGAATTAGGATTAGAATACCTTGATATTAGTAAACTTACCCCTTTCCTTCCAAAGTACTGATTTCATGCTGATTTCAGCTGATTTCAAATATTCAGTGACTGTTTTTCCCCCTGATCTCTGAAGGTGAGGAGGAAAGCCCAGTGTTTGCGCTCCCTCTGCTTTTACGACAGGATCGCCAAGCGGAGAAGCTGTTCCTGACTTCATTTTCATGGAAGTTTGAGTGCTTACGGTGTGGCTACAAATACCAGGACCGGTGAGATTTTTTCTTTAAGTAGCTTTTGCTTACAAGCTTCTTCCTCGCCTTTTAAGTCTCTGCTTAATTCCTGGTTTTTGTTTGGTTTTTGTATGGCTTAAACTTGTTGTGGTTTCATGTGATCCATTTTTTTTAGGCTGCCGTTTGCAAATGACTTACTGCTGTGTCATGTCTTAGTGTTATCTTGCAGTTAGGAGTGTTACCATGTAATTCAAAATGGAGTAATGCACAATCGTGCTGCCTTARCAATGCTCTTGCTGATTTTATTTATTTATTTATTTTTGCTGAGAGTGTACAGCCTGCTGCTTTTCCAAAGAAGAAATGCCTGACAAACCTTTGCTGTTGAAGAATACCTCTGATTCGTTTGTATTGCAAAGGATTAGAAATTTACATAGACGAGATTTGCTCGCATAGTTGATTTATTTTACAGCAGTATTAGAGAAGTGATTGATTGAATTCCGTATAGCTCAAATAAGTGCAAGCTGCTCCCTTAGGTTCCTTCTAGAATCAGCAGAAGAGGAGAGGTGTCTTCAGAAGGCAACTCATTTCACTTCAAAAATTCCTCTTTCTCTGCAGTGTCTTAGGTTTATACTGTGAACTTCTAGACCAACAAATGAGGCAGGATGAATTCTGTCCTTTATACCTGCAGCTAATATATAGCCCTGTTAATAAGCTTTTTTTCAACAAGCTGAAAAATCTAGGTTAGGTTGAATATAAAATAAGATCCTTCTGCGGCTGATGAATGAATGAGCTACTTTTTTTCTCTTTAATATTCCGTACTTTGTATTTTCATGTGTGTGAGCACTGCTCTGAATGCACTGGTTCTTTGAAAACAAGGCCTTGTGTTTGCTATTCTGATATAATTTCTTACTGCATCTTCACTCTGTGTTGAGCCCTTGCATTGCTTAGTAAATTACTAAAGTCTTGGTAGGGGCTTCCCCATATTTTGAAAAGGAAAAAGAGATAAGATGTTAGGGGATAAAGAGCAGATAATGTGGAATTAAAGGCCTTAATGCTGAGAACAACGGTGACTGTAGTGTTTGGCAGGAGTGAGTTCAGTGCTTACTTGTATCTGATGCAGTTACAATGGAGCTCATGGAAATTGCATGAATATGAATAGAATTAGCCTTAGTCATAACATTTTTGTAACTTTTTCCCACTTTTTTCCTACTGGTGTGAAGTAGATATTTTTACTGTCTTCTGCTCAGCAATTTAATTTACTCCTTTTTTTGTCTGTGTCCAGGTGTGGGAAAACATTACCAACGTTCACAAATGTAATCGCTGATTGGCATCCACTTAATGCTGTTCACATTGGTCCGTGTAATAACTGTAATGATAAATCTCAAAGAAGACAGATGGTTTTGGAAAAGTAAGTTTGAATATGTGAACTTGAAGAGAAAACAGATAAAAGTCTGAGACTTACAAAAGCAAATGCTRAACTTTGAACTCTCATCTCCACACCATCATCCCTGGTGTCTGTGGATAAAACTGCTCTCTGATCGTGTTTGGTTTCGCTTGGAAATCCTGTCCTGTCTTGGTTATAATACAGTTGTATCCTGTCTTTCTTATTTCTCCCTCCCCCTCTCAATTTCTTGTGTGCATTTTTGGTTCCCCACATTTATAACAAAGCAAAAATCTCCCGGGGAATTTGTCTCCGGTGAGTACTACTCACTCTGAGGAGACTTGTGCAGTGATAAAATAGTAACAGCAGGGCTGGCTGCTCTTTGTGATGCCTTGTTTGTGATTTTTCATTAGGAACTTCTACTGATAATTTCTTGTAATAAAATAATTTTTATTGTTCTTATTGTTTCTGTTATAGAGTACCCACAATATTTATGTTGCATTTCGTCGAAGGCTTGCCACACAACAACCTGGAGAATTACTCTTTTCAGTTTGAAGGGGATTCCTACCAAATAACGTCTGTTGTTCAGTATCAGTCAGCCAAGAAGCACTTTGTAACCTGGTGTTTGAATCCTGATGGTAAGAACCAGAAATTTGGTTATAACAGTGCATGAATCCCCATCAAATACAGTTTTATGAGTTGTTGAAATAGTCCCAATTATCCACAGATAATAAATAGGTCACATTTTTTTGTCTGTATTCCAAGTTTCCTATTAAAAACCTGAGAATAGTTATAGAAACTTGGTTGCTTATTTTGTTTCATCAGAAGGTTTCGTTTTGGTTCAGCTGATTTGTTCAGCAGTGTCCTGGCCTAGGCTGTTTTCAATGGGAAAAGTCATTCGGGTAGAATCATTTCCTTTCATAACCTTGTAAAAACAGAAGCAACTATGACCTGAGCTGTTGGTCAAATTGTGTTTGTTAGTTGAAGCCAAATATTCAACCATTCTTGGGCAGGAATGGGAAAACTTAGGAACTTAGGGGACTGATGCTTAGTTTCTCGTTGCTTCTGATCTGCACTTCAGCTGATGGGTGGGAGGCACAGTTAGGAGTTGGAAGCCTTCACATTCAACAGTGTGAGGGTTCTCTTGGTTCAGCAGCAGAGCTTCACTCAAGTGCTGTGCATCTGTTGTGCATCTCGGGCTGAGAAACGTGTCTGAGAGGTGGTTCTTCCCTCAGACCTGTGCAGCTGATTCTGTGCAGGTTCTGTGCAGGATGTCAGCGTCCCTAGCTAAGCCAAAAAGCCTGAGCTTTGCTTTCCTGGTCGACCTACCCTGAGCTGCAAATAATCCTGCAGCAAATATCCTGCTTGAGTGTGACCCSTTCTTAGGGGGGAGGCCTCTCAGCTTCCCTCTGATGCAATAAAGAATGGAGGAAAAACTTGCTTTTCTGTATGCCAAGGAATGAGTTAATAGAAGTGTTTGACAAATGTCTGAGAAATAGTAATTTCAGATTTAAAGGTCTCTGAGTAACGCCGGTTGCTGTTTATTTTTCAGGAAGTTGGCTTGAATGTGATGATTTAAAGGGTCCGTATTGCAAGAAACATAAAAGATTTGAAGTTCCTCCTTCAGAGATTTTTATTGTTTTCTGGGAAAAGAAAATCTCCAGTGCGCCGAAAGAAGCGGACGCACAGTTCCTGAGTAAAAATAGTGAAGATTTTCCTCTTAATAATGTACAGCCGAATTCCCCAGCGTTGCACTGTGGTTTTGCTGTGGACRGAATAGCTGCGGAACCTCACGGAGAGGATTCTGTGAGAATTCCAGATAAGAAGCCCCAGCAGGTAGCCGAGGATGAAAGCGGCGCTCGTCGGGCTTCGGCAGAGCTGGCACACGACGATGTTATAACTCTGACACTTGTCGAAATTCAGCTCGACKCAGAAGCTCAATCACTGGAGAACAGGCAGGTGGTGGGAAATAACCTTGTTGGCGGGACGGACTCGCTGCGACAGCAGGAATCAGCTTGTTCACCTGGGGCTCCGCAGAGGGGAGAGGCTGCTGGAACTAGGCTGCCTGAGAATAATCAATGCGCTTTATCTGAAGATCGCAGCGTCTCCTTACCTCCAGAAGAGCTAAATACAGCAAGTATTACTGCTCCAGTGCCTAAAAACCACTTCTCTTACCCATCTTACTCGCCTCTTGCTCAGAGAACGGATGACAGAGCAGATTTATTTAATAGAGCAAATGGTACTGGATTAAGTTCAGAACTTCAGCTAAAGAAGAATTTCTCACCTGCGAATAATATTACACAAAAGTCACCTGACTTGACAGATGGAAGCAAAACTGTAGTTGATTCTCARATTGCGAATGCTGCTGCTGCTAATAATCCTCTTCAGCCTTCACAAAAAGACCAGAAAAGAGGATTTGTAGGAAGCTGGGTAAAGAAATTACTAAGCAGGAATACTTCTTTTATGCCTTCAAGTGCCTCAACTCTTAAAAATCAGCGAAATTCCCAAACTCCTTCAGTGCAAAAAGTRAGTGATGTAAGGCTGCCAGTTAAGGGAGCAAGTAACTTTGATGGATTTCAAGGCAGAGGCGCAAACAAAGTGGCCGAGACCCCTAAATTAGCAGTTCCTCAAAGTAAAAATATTCRTCCTTTGTCAAATTTCAAAGGGTTTTCTGCAAACATTCATCTTCCTACGAAAAAACCTGTTGCTAACGAAGGTCCAGCTTGGAGGAAGGCAGGTGTGATGGATGCCTCGAGCTGGGCAGTGCAGCTTCATTCACCCAGCTCCAGTGCTGGGAGGGTGAAGGAGTCAGATGCCGATCAAATCAAAAAGCTCCGCCAAAAACTGCTAAAAAAGCTTAATGCTAAAAAGAAGAAGTTGGCTTCGCTGGACAGGCTTGCAGGGGAACAGATGCAGCACGAGAGGCCTGTGAACGGAGCTGGAAGCACCCCAGCTCGTTTCGACCCTCCTAATGAATCTCACAACGACAGTGAGTTATTACAGACGTTTTTAAGGGAGCTGCAGCATCAGATTGACGCTGCGGATAACGCATCTGATGCAAGCTCTGTTTCCATGTGCACTGGCCATGATGCTAATAGTGAAATATTGGCAGAATTACTGTCCCCTGCTTCCACGGTGGCTTCCTTAGAGGTTCCAAGAGGTGAGGACGAATGYAGGTATTTGGAAATGGGGGACAGCAGCGCGGCCCCGGGCGGGCCTGCCGAGGCGGCCGGCGCGTCCCACGCCACGGGGCCCCGGCAAGATCACAATTACTACAGCCCTGTGAAGGACAGCACTGCCCAGGGGCCACCAATGAACAAATGCAGCATGAGAAAACTCGCTTTTGAAAGTCCCACAAGYGAAGATCTCCTCGAAGACCTGTTCTCCATTTCAGAACCAAGCTCAATAGCAGGCGATATAGATTTACCTCATTTTGATGAAACTCTGTTTGAAAATTGGTGAAGATTCAGTTCCTTATTTTTAGTATTTTTAATATTATGTATATATTGAAACAAAGCACTATTTAAATTATATTTTCTATCTTGGTTAATTGCACACTGGCTGTACTTGAAGAATTTACATTTGAAGTATTTTTTTTTCCTTAGGGTTGCATTTTAGAAGACAAACAAGGTTTTAATCCCATTTTGCCTGTGAACGAGTTATTTTAGGGGTAGAATAAGAGGATAGAGTAAATTAAAAGCTCTTATAAGTCTTCTTTTTTTTTGCTGCTGCTCTTAATGTGGCAAATTCATATTTTATAGAGCTTGAAAATAACAACTTTCACTATCCTTGATGGTGTAAGTAATACTGTTTAGGAAGTCTTGATCTATTTTTCAGAAGTCTTGTTGTCCAACCTCACACTGACCCTAAATCAGGGGTATTTGAATCCCTCAATGCAAAGATGATTGCCACGCTGAGAGGTCAAGCATGGTGTGTTCTGCTGGGCATTTCAGTCTTCAGATCTACAGGTCTGCAAGCTCTTCCTGCATGTAAGGAAGGAGGGATATAAAATCAAAATTTTCCTATCTAAAGTGCTGTGGTTCRTTCCAGGTTAAATGAAAATACAATTTTGCAGAATATACTTCTGAGCCTGCTAATCTTTTAAGCAAAATAAATAGGATTTGACCCAGAATTTGCAGCATTAAGAAAGAGCTGGTACCAATGGTAACTTTCATGTATCCAGTGCTGCAAATTCATTACTACGAAAGTGCCCAAGCATTAAAGTTAACTGACATTAGCACTGATAACTGCTGCCACTAGGAATTTTTCATGGATRGAGCTGAGTACTCCAGCCTTTGCACAAGGGAATGTACACTGTGTAGGGAATCCTACACAGTAGGAACAAAGGAATGGAGAAATATGGCAAGAAAGAGGGAGTAAGAAGAGAGGAGCGTTTACATCTCGGTATTTCTGGATTTGTGTATAGCTTTCATTTTGTTTAATACATACRTGAATTCATGTATACAAACCTGAGATTATTGTTTGCCAAATTACAGCTCCTAAAATATTCTTCACATCCRTGGCAATAAAGATTTTATCAGCAAGGCTGGTTCAGCCCTTTTTGGAGGCACTCTGTGTTTTATTTATCCCCAATGCAAAACATAAGCSCTGCTGTCGTACCCTTGAACAGGTGCACTAGAACAGAGCGGTTGTTACAGGTCATGGCTACAGAGGTGGATGGGCTTGGATAACTTGACCAGATCCCAAAAGTGTGTGAAAAGCAGTCAGGGGTGCTGAACTCGCCCTCCCAAACTGCCTCTGTTGCAATTGTGGGTATGTCCATGAAACTTCCACTACAG